TAGAACATATTTTGACACATTATACGTACATGGAGTATAATTTATTCAAATTAGGACTCCATGCTGTGGTTGTACATGATGTGGAGTTTCAAGGGTTCTGGATTCATATATGAACATAGGAAAGTTCTGTCCCATTCATTTGACTGTCTTTCCAATGCTTTTTAGTTGGGACACTAGTCTCCCTTTTCGTTACCCAATTCCTATTCCTTCTCCTTGTCTGCTTAAGGTATTTACATCACAGATTAGGCCATGGGAAGTATTGAGTTTACAATCCCAGCGAGCCGTAGAGACATATTTGTGCCATAGTGTCTGTTCTTTAGGAGCCCAAAGGAATCCAATCCAGGGATCAGAATCCTATGTGTATAAATGTCCTCTATTCACTGAGTACTGTGTACCAGTGTACCATCACCTTCCACATACACATTTTTACTAACATGCCACCATTTAATCTCTATGATAACTCCATGAGGTAGCTATTAACCATCCCCACATACTGGATGAACCAACTGAGACATGAAAACATAAATTGCTTCCCAAGGTCACACTCTCAGGAATGATAAGTCTCAGGATTTGAATTTATACTTCCTCCTCATCAATGCATTTGATCCTATGACCCAGAGCCTTATATTAAAGTTCCCACTTCCTGGACCCATAGATTTTCCTGCAATCCTGTTCAACACTCCTTCACATCAAAGGCCACTGGCATCTTTCAATCAACCGAGATGTCCTAATTCAATGCCTACAGTGACCTTTACCCTTGGCTCTTTTGCCTCTGACCTCTCATGGTACCCTCTTGTTAAAATACCACCTGCTCTGGGGCAACCATCTTCCACCTTCTCTTTTTCTATACCTTCATCCTCTCCTTTTCTATTGGATTTACCTCCTTGGAGGCGAACAAAAGACCCTTCCTCACTCTGGGTTCCTCTAGCTTTTACCCTGGGTTTTGCTCCTGTACAACTTTTGGCAAGCAAGCTTCTGGAGGAGGTCCCTATCTTGGCTTCCTCCACTTCCTAACCTCCCACTCTCTCCTCCGTGTCTTACAACCTGCCTTCTGACCCCACTACGCCACTGAAACCACCATCTAGATCACTAATGCCTTCTGGCTGCTAAGTCAAACGGATATTTTTAGGACATCCTTTTTAGTGTCCAACACTGTTGAACACTTTCTTCTTCTCAGAATGTTCTCTTCCCCTGACTTCCATGTAACATTCCATTTTCTCTCAAAGACCCTGCCAGCCACTCTCTTCAGCTTCCTGTGTGGCCTCCTTTGCTCCTCCAACTGTTGGTGTTAGCATTTCAGACTCAGTCTTCTTGAATAACTCGGTTGGTTTCTGGAAACAGGTCTTTGCGAGGATTTCCAAATTCATATTCTCAGCCACAGCTTTCTCCTAAACTTTATCCAACTCCCTGTTAAAGTTCCATAGAACCTTGAACTTTATCATGCCCCCAGCTTCTCATTTCTCCCTCTCCCCCAACTGAATCAGTTTTACCTGTCCAGGTAAATACCTGCACCATATGCCAGATTGTCCAATCTTGAATGATCACTTCCTCACTAGGTAAAAAGCTCTCAAAGTCACTTAATAAATACCTGCTTCCTCTTCCATCTGTAGGTACTGCTACACCTGTTCATACCCCATTCTTCCCCTTCCTTTTCTTTTTATGGTATAATTAACCTACAGTATACTCTTTTAAGTATATAGGTTGTTCTATGAGTTTTGTCAAATGCATAATAGTCATGTGACCACAACCTCAATCACAATCACAGTATGAGACAGGTCCATCATCTCCCACATACACACCTCTCTGATGTTCACTGCAGTCAACCCCTTTCCCTACTCCCAGCCCCTGGAAGCCACTGATCTGTTTTCGATCCCTATAGTTTTTCCTTTTTCCAGAATGTTGTATAAATGGAATTTTAAAATTGTAACCTTGAGTCAGGCACTTCTCACTCAGAATAATCAATCTGAGATTTAACTATGTTCTTGTGGGCGCCTTCAGTTCATTCCCTTTTATTATATGGCTGTACCAGTTTGCTTATCTATTTTTTTCAGTTGAACAACATTTTACTTTGTTTACAGTGTTTGGCAATTAGGAATAGATATTCCTGTTTAGGTTTCTCTGTGTCTTCATTTTACTTGGGTAAATATTTAGGCACACGAACTAGACAGTTAGAGACCAGCATAGGGACAAAGGGCGAATGCACTACTGGCTCTTAACTCATAGCCTGACAACCATTAGGAGATGGTATAAGCCTTTGGGTCTGTTCTCCCACCTTAACTAATGGCCTCTTAGGTATGATAAGCCTGGTATGTGCCTTACCCATCCCTCAAACACCTGAATAGCTTCAGAGACCAGGTGCCTCATTAGGGCCAGGATGCTCTTGCCATGACCCTCCAAGGACAAACAACATAAAGCATAAACCATTGAGGAGTCATAAAAATGGCAAATTCCCAGGGCCCTTAACTTGTTACTGGCCATGATTTATGTTCTCTTCCATCTTCCACCTGTGCATTCTTTTAACAGCTACAGCAACTTGTCCTTATCACAAGATGGAGATGCTTATACAGAACGCAGTGTGGATGTGAAAAACTAACATTTGACTCCAGAATGACCACTGACCTTGCCTTCCTCAGTTAAAGTGCTCTCATAGAAAACACACACACACACCTTTGAAATTTATCCAAAGACAATTAACATTCCTAAACCTTAGCTCCCTTGCAAAAAAACCCTTTCACGAAAATAAAATTAACCCTTTCCTTTGGGGAGCCAGCCTCACACTCTGGTCCCTTCTCTTAGTAGAAGTCCTAATAAAATCCTTGCCTGTGTGTTCTCTCCCCTGGCTTGTTTTCATCTCTACTGTCATCAAGTCAAAATTCCCATGTTGGCATCAGGATTGCTTCGTCCTGTGGTAAGTACAACTGTTCTTCAAAGTGGCTGGTTTATCTTGCTTTCTTACTAGTGATATTTGAGAGTTCTAGATGCTGTGTCTGTGTCAGCACTTGATATTGACAGTTTCATTTTCTTATTTTTAGCCTTCATAAGGGGCATGTTGTAGTGTCTCATTGTGGTTTTAATTGGCACCTCAATAATGATAAATGATATTGAGCATCAATTTCATGTGCTTATTTGCCAGGCTGTGTGTGTGTGTGTGTGTGTGTGTGTGTGTGTGTGGTGATACTAGGGATTGAATCAGGGGCCTTGTGCCTGCTAGGTAAGTAAGAAGTACTCCACCACTGAGCTGCAACTCCAGCCTTCATATATCCTTCTGGTAAAGTGTTTGTTTAAATATTTTGGCTGTGCCCCCCTCTTTTTTTTAAATTGGATTGTGTATTTTTCTATCAATTGAGTTTGGTTTGAAAAGTTCTGTATAGATCCTGGGTGTAAGTCCCTTATCACTTATGCTTTGCAAAAGTTTTCTCCCAGTCTGTGGTTTGCCTTTTAATTTTCTTTAAAAAGCTATTTAGTTTGAGATAATTGTAGATTTGCATGTAGTTGTAAAAAATAATAGAGAGAACTTGCATACCCTTCCCCCAGTTTCCCACAATAGTAATATCTTACATAGCTGTGGTATAATATAACAATCCGGGAATTGACACTGCTACAATCATTGATCTTATTCCAACTTGTTTGACTTGAAGGCTTTCCATGCACGTGTGTGTGTGTGTGTGTGTGTGTGTATTTTGTTCCATGCAATGCTACTATATGTGTGGATTTCTGTGACCACCATCCCAGTCAGATACAGAACAGTACATCACAAGGATTTCTTTACAACCATAGCCACTTCGTGCCCTCTCTACCTCCCTGACAACCACTAATCTTCTCTCCATCTCTGTAATTTTGTCATTTCAAGACTGTTATATAAGTGGGATCATACAGTATTTAACTTCTGACTTTGGCTTCTTTTACACAACAGAATTCCCTGGAAGTTCATCCAAGTTGTTTAATATATCAATAGTTCTGTCTTTGTTATTGATGAGCAGTATTTCTCAATTTGCTTAACCATTCATCAGCTGAAGTACACCTGAGTTATTTCCAGTTTGGGACTCTTATAAATTAAGGTGCTGTCAATGTTCACATTAGAGTTTTTGTGTAAACACAAGTTTTCATTTCTCTGGGATAAATGCCCAAGAGTGCAACTGCCAGGTCTCAGAGTAATTGCACTTTCAGTTTTGAAAAAAAGATCAAACCATTTTATAGTATATGAACATTTCTGCTAGTAAAGTATGAGTGATTTCATTTTCTCTGCAACTTTGTCAGCATTTCAGCCATTGTGATAGACGCATAGTGATATATCTCACTGTGGTTTAAATTTATATTTCCTTGGAGGATAACGAGGTTGAGCATCTTTGTGGATACTAAAGTGTCTTTTGAGAAGCCCATTCTTTCTTGACATGACTTAAATGGGAGGCAATCCCCTTCCTCCAGTTTTACCCTTCCGAAACAGAGCTAGACAGAATACCGTGCTTAACCCTATTTTAGCATAGAAATTTTCCCTGGGTTGTAACTTTCTGTGATTCTTCAGACCCTGATCTCCAAGTGGGCCAGGGCAGTTTTGCTCGATTCGAGATTCTCAGCCAGGATACTGCGTGTCACAGATCAAGTATCATTTCTCCAATGAGGGCACGATAAAATGCAAAAATGATCTCAGTGATAAAAAGAGGCGAAGACACGAGGAAGGAACGGGTTAAGGAACCAGGCAAGGTATACAAGGCACTTATCGCTTCTAACCACCGTCCCCAGAGTCCTGCCCACGCGCAAGCGCACTGCTCTCCTCTCGACCCCGCCCCAACTCCACCCCTCAACCTCTCCCTTAGGGCCGTCCCTCCAGGTCTGCGACCAATTAGGGAGAGGAGGCGGGGTTCTGGATGCCGCGGTGCTCGTTGGGTAGTGTTCCTAGTTACTGTTGCTAAGGCTGAGGGGAGCTGGAGGTGGTGGGAGTAACAAGTTTTGGAAGCTAAGGCCTGAAAGAGGTCAAGGGTCAGTGCAGAGCCAGGGAAGAGATGGTGAAGCAGACGATCCAGATTTTCGCGAGGGTAAAGCCCCCTGCTCGGAAGCAGCAATCAGGGGTACGGCGGGGGCGCCAGCGCGGTGGGGCCTCCAGGCCGCGGGTGTGGGGCACGTGAGGGTCCGGCCCCGGGAGAGGGCTCGGCCAGGGCGCGGGTGCGGCCGGGAATCCCGCACGCACTGACCGAGAGCCCCTGCGGCCACGCAGTTGCCGCTGCACGCGGTGAGGGGCGACAGTCACCCAGTCCATTTCCACCCCTCACAGCCCTGCGGCCGCAAACCGGGCACAGAGCTCAAGTGCCCACGCAGGGCAGGCTCGCCTGTTTGCGCACTCCCAGAGACTGCGCCTCAGTCATACCCCGGCATTTACCGCACCTTTCAGGGAAACTGTCACAACTCCATACACACAGGTACACTGAAACGTGTTTTCCCACTGGGGCAAAATATGTGTAAGAGATGCATGCTTCTAAATGTCTGAAATGATACAAATATAGACAGATACACAAAGCATACACTTATTTAATACTTTGCAGTCAGTGGGCCCTCAGGAATTTCTTTTCTATATTGTCATTCTGCAACAAACACGTGATTTTGATGTATATTCATTGTAGGTATATTTAAGCATCCTGACACACAGAATACACATATATGCTTCATTCAGAAAACATCTATGAGTATTTACTAGGTGCTTTCTCTAGTGTGCTAATTCAGATTACAAAGAATGTTAAGTAAGGCATTAACCTTGGCTCTGAGCAGAGATACTTTGTAATCTTCTTAAATGTTTCAAAATAGTGTTTTCTTTGCCTAGAGGAGAATATAGGCATTCTTACCAGGTCTTGAGAAATTGCTACTTGACCCGGGCTTAATCTGCATTTTTTGATCCTTTCAAGAACCCTGCAAGGTGGGTGTCATTTCCCTCATTTTAATGAGGAAACTGAGTCTCTTGGATTAAGTAATGTGACCAGAGTATCCAGCTGGTGAGTTGCAGAACTGTGATTTTAATTAAGGATTCCAGCCCCACCCCCCCCCCCCCCCAACCTAGCTATTCCTGTTTCAGGCAGGAAAAAAAAAAAAAAAAAAAATCATTCCCAGAGTGAGAATTTAGGCAAGGGCAACTTGAGTCATACTTGTGAGTTCTTAGAGTAGGTATATTATGTATGTTTTATTTCCACCCCATATCTATATTGTGTGTGTGTGTATGTGTGTGTGTGTGTATAACATCATAGTAACTAATAACTTTGCATTTGCCTCATATAACTTATGTATTTAAAACAAGGAGAAATCAATGTTTATCATCATGATGATGATAACTCTTTTTCTTGACGAGTACATTAAGCAAAAGATGCATAAGAAGACTCAAAGAATATTTTGTTAAAGATATAAAGCAGTATGGAAAGAACCATAGTATCTTCCCATTTATTCCCTCCTTTTACAATCACCTACACAAAGATTTTCTTAAAGTGCATATAAAACGCATGTAAAAAGTATATTGTATGCAACATCTACCCACAGAGTCTTGACTAAAAGCATTGAGTTTACAGAGATTTTGCAGTCAAAAGCAGATGCTCTGGCAAAATGAAAAGATGAGTAAGGTTGGGAAATTGATGGAGAGGCCTGGATTTAATATTGCTATCTTTCTGTCTGTCTCTACCAGGCATGTGCTCTATCACTCAGCCACATCAGCAACCCCTAACTTTCTCTTTTCTTAAAATGCAGGGTTTGGCTCTTTTAATGTGCCTCCTTTCCCACTTCTTAGATGAGTCTAAGAAGGGGATTACTTGATCCTCCAGAGGTACCTTTAGGTGCCGTGTTGCATTTCATGATATCAGATTCTTTGAAATGTTACATGCCACATTCACAAAAAGAATGGGAATGAATAAATACAGAGTTAGTATATTCCTATTTTCCTTTAGAAACTCCATATTTTAGCACTGGATCTTTTTGTCTACAAAAGATTGTATGATTATTTCTCTGACTACAAATGCTATTTGTAGGGCTGGGGATGTGGCTCAAGGGGTAGCGCGCTCGCCTGGCATGCCTGTGGCCCAGGTTTGATCCTCAGCACCACATACAAACAAAGATGTTGTGTCTGCCGATAACTAAAAAATAAATATTAAAAAATTCTCTCTCTCTTTAAAAAAAATGCTATTTGTAATATTAAACCAAGAATGATTCAAAGGCTGTATATTAATCCTATTCCTTAAGACATATATTAAATTATAATAATTTGTAGACTAATAAAGAAGATATATTGTATGGATCTGATAATTTTAGCAATGGCAGCACTTTCCATTTCTACAGTGCTTTGTACATTTCAAACACATTTTCATATTTATCCTTGCATTTGTTCTGTCTTCTAAACAATAACTAGCCTATCTCAGATAATAAATATTTTTATGACTAAGTGTAGAAAGCCAGTATATTAGACTAAGTTTTCCTACTTTTCTTAATGACTCAAGATTGGCTTAGGAGTAAAGGGGGGCGGATAGCAAGGAGCCATTGTTCCTACCCATCAGTTTTTTTGTTTTTTTTTCTACCTGCTGAGAACAGGTAGAAATCGATTTTTTAAAATGCATGCCACTCCTCACTTTTGCATGTTTGGTGTTTCACACACTCCCTTCATTTACCTGCAGTTATTAAACTGTTTTTGGCGGGGAGGGAGATTTGGTAGTGTAGTGCTCTACAGGACATACTTTGAATGCCTCTTGAGAAAATCTAGCCAGAAAGCCTTGAACCTGGTTCCCGAACTTTCTACAATTTTATTTTACAAAGCCACTTTTGTACCTGAAGTGTTCACATTTTAAATGAGAGGTTTCAATAAAAATCCACTTAGGAAATTATTCATACTTTTGGAGGTTCAGGGGGACGTTTACTTGCTTAGGAATATGACTTTCCTCCCATAATCAAGCATCTAAATGGGTCTTAAATAGGAAGTATTGCCTGTTAGAAAAAAATTTATTTCTTGGTGAAAGACCTTTTTTTAAAAAAATCCTCTAAATCTAATGAATGATTTTTTTATGGTGCATTACAAAATACTTCCATTTCTATTACATCATTTGGTGCCCCCAGCAATCTTGTAAGGGAGGCAATTCTGTTTTTCTCATTTGCTTTATGTACAAGGAACCTTGATTCTGAAAGTGGTGGCAGATCACACAGCTGGTAAATTGAGCTCAGTGTTTGGACACTAAATATTATGCTTTTCCTTCTTCCACATGATTTCTTTATAGGCTTGAGTCTTGGTTTCCTGGCCAATAAATAAAGAAGTAGGTAACCGAGAAGAGAAACAGAGAAGGTTACAGTTGTAGGGCTTTGATTAAGACCTCCATTTCCATATCAGCTTAGAGAGGCTAAGTGATTTCTCCCAGGTCACTTGCCAATTAGTGGCTGGGCTGGGTTGAAAATGACATCAAAGACATGAAGTACATGTATCTTCTGAAGCCCCATGTCTTATCAAATGTCTGAATATATTTTATGGAAACTTGGGCTTCTTTGAACATAACTTAAATTTGAGCATTCTCACAGCTCTGTGAGAAGGCTCAGATTACTCTCATTCTTTTATCTGTGTCTAGTAGTTTGTAAATACTCAGAAATGTTTATTGGTTATAGTAAAATGTTATTTTTGATAAATACCAAAGCAGTATTTAGATTATATGTTGCTTTCAGGGCTATTAGTTTTCAGTGACAACAACAGAAACATTCACATTCTCAAATTTGAGTGTTTAGATCATTCAGAGATGATCTGAGTTTTTGTTTTGTTTTGTTTGTTTGTTTTTTGGTATTGGGGATTGACTCAGGGGCACTCATCCACTGAGCCACATCCCTAGCCCTGTTTTTGTATTTTATTTAGAGACAGGGTCTCACTGAGTTGCTCAGTGCCTTGCTGTTGATGAGGCTGGCTTTGAACTTAAGATGCTACTGCCTCAGCCACTGCGCCCAGCTGATCTGAATTTTGTTTTGTTTTTTTTTTTAATATTTATTTATTTTTTTTTAGTTTTTGGCGGAAACAACACCTTTGTTTGTATGTGGTGCTGAGGATCGAACCCAGGCCGCACGCATGCCAGGCGAGCGCGCTACCGCTTGAGCCACATCCCCAGCCCCTGATCTGAGTTTTCATATAGCATTGATTCAGGTTTTACCTCTTGTTCTGTTCCATATATTTGTTTGAGTGCACACATTTCAATGAGGAAAATTATACTGTTTTGACATTTTATCTTTTTTTTTCCCTTGGAACTGGGGGGTCGAACCCAGGGCTTTTTGAATGCAAGGCAGACACTTTGCCACTGAACTATCTCCCTGTCCATGACATTTTATCTTAAAAGTACAATTTTATACCATTATTATGCAAGTCATAATAACACAGTCATAGTTCAAGCTGTGATTTCACCATTTTATATTTATTCTTATATTTACAGATTTATTCCATAGATGATGATGAAAATTTAACACCTAGCTTGGAAATTATCATACCTCGTGATTTGGCAGATGGATTTGTGAATAATAAGCGAGAAAGCTACAAATTTATGTAAGTTTATCTTTCTTTTACTTCATTCCTTTTTCATTATTGGACTAGCTTTTGTCCTGCATTAATATTCACTGTGAACTCATTAGCCCCATTTCTTGTGGAAAAAGTAGTATGGCTGTCTCATTTGGAGGAGGATCTCAAGTTCACTGCTGTGCTTAAGGTTGAAAGAGGATATATTTCTTTATCTGAGATTATATTCCAGGATTTCAGCCTTTCTTTATCTGATGTTATCTTTTCTATACTCAGCCTGCTGTGGTTTAGCACTTATAGGAAATTCCAATGAACAACTAAACTTTTTTCAAGATAAGACCTTTAGGTATAATCTTGTGTACTGTTTAGGTAAGCCTTCTTTAAAATATGATACACAGATTGCATATGCACATACATACACTTGATAACCATGTTGTCCAGTATAATATCCATAAGCCACATGTGGCTCTAGAGCTCTTGAAATGTGTTAGTCAACAATTAGATGTCAGGGCTGCTAATATGGCTCAGTTGGTAGAGTGCTTGCCTTACATGCACAAGACTCTAGGTTTGATCCCCAGTACCACACACACACACACACACACACAAAAAAAAAGATTGTCTTGTAAAGTATAAAATACATGAAGGCTTTTTGAAAGCTCAATATGTGAAAGAAAAAGAGAATACAAACTATGTTAAGAAGTTTTTCATATCTATTATATATTGTAATGATAAAATTTTAGCTGTATTGTGTTAAAATATACTACTGTAATTATTTTCACCTATTTTGTTTTACTTTTTTCAAAAGCCAAGCTCCTAGAACATTTTAAGTTACATATATGCTCACATTTATGGATTACATTATATTCCTTTTGGGCAGTGCTGAATCATAGTGTCTGGGTGGAAAGTACCAATGGGCCACCCGTGGATAATCACAGTGCCTTTGGTCTGAATACTTTTATAGGAGCCAGTCTTTGAATTTGGGAGGATTATGGATATATATTTCACACTGTCTTTATTCTCAAATTTCAGATTAAGCCATTTCTTTTGATCACCACCTTTGATTTCTGGAGAAGTTAGAGCTCAAGTTAAATGCATATGTGATCTCTAACTCAAATTTTGGTGGTAGATTTCTAGACTTAACTGAAGGAATCCTAATTACTCACTTGCATCTATCTCTAGACTGTTTTGAGACTATCCTGCCCTGGCCTTTGGACAAAACTGTCCCAGACACTTTAAAGTTTTGTTTGTCTCTGTGTCTGTCTGTCTGTCTGTCTCTCTCTCTCTCCATCCCCCACCCATGCTTCCCCTTGCCTTTTCTGTCTTTTTCAGTGCTGGGGATTGAACCCAGGGCCACATATATGCTAAGCACACACTCACCACCACTAAGCTACACCCCCAGCTCCTCTCTTTTTCAGGTTCTTATTCGCTCTTATTTTTTGGCTCATAGAGAATTCTCCTTGATCTTTGTATCTGTACATTTTGTCTCTTTAATATATGTCTCTTTCCACACCCAGCCCATCTTCTTCATTTGTCTCCTTTTACAGCAAGTACAAGCAGGATTGCTAACACATGGTTCTGTAGTGAGGTGGACCTTGCCTTGTCTTATAAGATCCCTGTTGCCTTTCATTAGCTCCTTTAAGAAGCATCCTATGATACATGATTGACTTTTGCAGAAGGGGCATTCTTCTAGAAGATGTAAGCCTGCTACACATCTAAATAGCTATGACTTCATGGCAGTTGGTAGCTGGTCTAAGCCAATCTCTATAAAGCAACACTTTGTTGAAACATTTGATTCAGCATGATCCCATTATTTTAAGAACAACTGATCAGGGCTGGGGATGTGGCTCAAGCGGTGGCGCGCTCACCTGGCATGCGTGCGGCCTGGGTTTGATCCTCAGCACCACATACAAACAGGGATGTTGTGTCCACCGAAGACTAAAAAATAAATATTAAAAAAAATTCTCTCTCTCTTTAAAAAAAAAAAAAAAAGAACAACTGATCAGGGCTGAGGTTATGGCTCAATGGTAGAGCAGTTGCCTAGCATGCCTGAAGCACTGGGTCTGATCTTCAGCACCACATTAAAAACAAATAAATAAAAATAAAGGTATTAAAAAAACAATTGATCATATCTTTATCTATGGACCTTTTCTAAAGTATTCTTTGCATTATATAGAAACAGGGCATTTAAACATATATTTATTGAAAGAGCACCATTTGCCTATATTTTAGATCTCTGAATTTAAATATTGGTTTTAATATTTAAGATAGAATAAAATATTCAACTTTTACATATATTCAGTGATAAATATTTAAGCATTCTGAAGGCTGTTTTCTCCTAAGAAAACTCATTCAATCAATAAATATTTATTGACTACCCACCATATGCTGTGTTCACTGCTAGGAATACAGGAGGGAACATGCACCAAAGCTGCTGTTCTTCTGGAGCTTATATTTTAGTGGGAGGAGACAGACAAGCAAATTAATAAATGCATGTCAGAAATTGTTAAGTGCCACGAAGAAGAGTAAGGCAGGAAAGAGAGGTGAGGAAACCAGCCATGCAAATAGCTGAGGGATGAGAATTCCAGGCCAAGGGAATAGCATGAGCAATGTCTCTGCAGGGGGATGGACACAGGAAGGGGATCTGGGGGGCTGGAGTGCAGTGAGCAAGGGGGCTAAGGGGGAGAAGAGAAGTTGAGGAGCACAGAGCGAGCAGATTATATAGAGCCCTGTGAGTCATGGTGAGCATGGTGAGGGAAGGTTTTGAGCAAAAGAATGAAATGATCTCACCTAAGTTTTAGCAGGATCACTCTTGATACATGGAAAACAGACTGTAAGGAAAACCAGACTAGAATTTATGGTATCTTGGGCCAGGGTGGAAATGTTAAGAAATACAGTGTGCCTTCTATATCTGCAGTTCTTCAGTTCTGATACACAAATCCAAACACCTGTGGACTGAAAATATTGGGAAAACAAACAAACAAAAAAGGGCATATTGAGCACACACAGACTTTTTTCTTGGTTTTTTTTTCCCTAAACAATATAGTTAACGACTATTTACACAGCATTTACATTATATTACACATTCTAAGTAATCTAGAGATGATTTAAAGTATAGGGGAGTATGTGCATAGATTATATGCAAATACTATGTCAGCTTATATAAGGGATGTGAATATCTTTGGATTTTGGTATCCATGGGGGCCCTGGAATCAGTTCCCCAAGGATACCAAGTGATGACCGTAATTGGATTATGGATGTATTTTGGAGGTCAGAGCTGGTAAAATTTGTTAGTAGATTGAATATAGAGTGCAATAGAAAGAGAAAGAGTCAAGGGTGCCTGAAGGATTTTGGACTCAGCATTTAGAAAGATGGAGTTGGGGTGGGGGGTGAGGAAGATTGCAGGAAGAATGGTTTGGGGTACAAAAAGATCAGTATTTGCTGAGTTTGAAATGGAGTTCAGAAAAATCCTACCTAACATCTTAATAAATGAAAGGACCTCCTAGAAATCAGGTATCTCCAGTTGTGTCTCAAGGCATGTTACTGATGGGCTTTAGGACCATGAGTAACTACTTCATCTCTGTGGATCTAAACTTCTTCCTCATAAGCAATTACACAGAACTGATAAAATCTCTCCTAATTCTGTGATTCTGTTTTGCTCTTGAATTGTTTTCAGAAAATAGCTGATCAAAATGCCTTTTTAGATTGCTATGCCACCATGTCAGAAAAAATAAAATATTTGGGATAATACTATTTTATCCTTAATGTACAATTAATGACTTATTATAAAGTTTGATGCCAAAATCCTCATTCTAAAATGGGGCGGGCCAATAAACAGAGGGCTCTGAATTGCTTATGATTCTACCATCTGCTATTGTAAATAGTGGAGAATGTCATGTTTTCCCAAGGAATTCACTGTGTTTTATAGGTAACTTCTCACCTAAAGCTCATTAAAAATGCTTGGTACATAGACACTCAGTATATATTTGTGAAACAAATAGATTAGTAAATGAATATACCATAATTAATTATTTTACAAAATATATCTTTTATAGTGCATTCTGTGTTTGATTCAATGTCTTCTTTAAAACTCCTGCCATTTCTTGATTACGTAGTAGTAGACATAGTTCCTATTATGTAAGGATGTTTGGTCAAGAATGGCTGATTGATTCATCAGTCATCAGCCTGATAAAAGAATCCAGCTAGCTTTCTGTACCACCCGTCTCTTCACAGGCACCACTAGGGGTCTGTACTAAGATGTCCTAGTGGACCATGCTCTGAAGAGCATAGGGAGACCTGTGTTATGTCGACCTCTCTATAATGCTGGTGCTCATATCTAAAGCTGTTTTACACCTGCCAGGTTTTGAGGAGTGGTCTGAGCACATTGAACAGTAAAGACTGCTGTCTAAAATCACCTTGCCTGAGAAATGCCTTAGAATATCTCCTTGTGTAGTTCATTATTTACTTTTCAAAAACAAATGTGGTTCAGCTATAGGGATCCTTTAAATTTAATGTAGACCAGAGGTTCCTGCAATAAAGACAAATTTCTTAACGTTTTATATTTCCGGTTTTATATTTCCATCTCTAAACACTCTTCTGCAGTTCCCAGCAGTGGAAACAGGTTTGCATGTCACCTATAGTCTCCACTTGGATTGAACACATGCCAATTTACTTGAGTACACAGGCATGTAGTCCAGAAGTTCCTGTGTCTCCCCGAGAGTTGCTTAGGATGTCCTCAAAGTGTCTATTTTAAAATTTTTGCTTTAAAGTTCTCATCTCTACAACTTTTATTTCGAAAAAATTTAAATATATAAGGTAGAAGAACAACCCAGTCAACATTCATATACTCTTTGTGGGAGATTCACCCTTTGCTAACATTTTGGTTGGTCTCTCTGTCCCCCCTCCCAGCCCGCCTCCCTCTTCTCATTATTGCGATGTTTTCATGGGGGCTATACATGCTGGTAGTACCTCACTTCACTGCAAAAGAATAGATGTGTCTCCTACTCAAATTATTCCACTGTGCTTGCAATCCTGTACTCATCAGAGTGGCACCGGAGAAGAGTGAAACTGACACCACACCATCTCCCATTCCCTGGTCACTGCCAATTTAATAAAGACTTCTCTTTGCAGAACAGATATATCTTAGTTTACTTTTTGACTTTTGAATCTTGGTCAATAAAATGAAACAACGCCATCTTGAGAATTGACATTGTTGATACTGGATTTTAGTACCTAATTAGTGAAACATAAACTTCAGTTCAATTTAATTTTAAAATTAAATTCAATAATGATACAATTCACAGTTGCCCCCATTTTCTCACAGGTCAGACATCAGAAGTTCTTTGGCTGTTTACATCCTGTTCTTGGGTTTCCATTTCATGCAGTTATCTGAATTTGAATTTGATGCCAATTGTAGACACTGTCCCTCTTGAGAGCTAAAAAACACACAGTTTATTATTTGGTTCAAAGCTGCTGCAGCTTTTCAGAGGGATTTATTGTGCAGATCTTGTCAAAGCAATACTGTTTACCCACCATTTGTATACAGGAGTACAAGAGCACAGTGTGGTGGAACTACAGGACAAACATTGTGTTAAGTTAGGTAAGCCTGATGATGTAAATGTGGGGTCACTTACAAAGCTTTAGAAAAACAAGATTTATTAATCCAATAGTGTTTGAAGGCACAGCATTTAAATAATTACCACTTTCACATTGCAGATTTCAGAGGATTTTTGATCAAGATGCAAAGCAAGAGATCATTTTTGAAAACATTGCCAAACCAGTTGCTGAGAGGTAGGATTTCCCAGATTTTCTTCAGTGGGTTCGTGGTTTTTCATCTTGTCTTCAATTCTCGGATAATTGTGGTAATGTGCTTCAGTATACCAATTATACACTCAGGCTTTAGGGCATGTAATGATGACAGCATTAATATCTTCTGTTCATATAGCCATTTGTTTTAGACTTAAATTCTGAGCCTCAAAACAAATCATTGTGATAGAATAGCTATTGTTACTCCCATTTGCAAAGACAGTGTGAACTGAGGACCACAGGAATGGATGGCACTCACCAGATGGGGTTGCCAGGCTAGTGGTGGCAGAGACCTAGATCGTTTTCTAGTTGTTACTCCAGTGCCCCTTCCTTAGTTCAATATTTCAAGCATATGGTTAGATGGACAAGGAATAAGGTATGTGTGGCATTTTTTATCTTTTTTTTGTACCAGGGATTGAAGCCCGGGTGCTTAACCACTGAGCCACATCCCCAGCCTTTTTTATTTTTTATTTAGAGACAGGGTCTTGCTGAGTTGCCCAGGCCTTGCTAAGTTGCTCAGGGCCTTGCTAAGTTGCTGAGGCTGGCTTTGAACTCCCAATCCTGCTGCCTCAGCTTCCCAAGCTGCTGGGGTTACAGGCGTGTACCGCCTCGCCTGGTTTATGGCTGGCATTTGAGAGGCCTACTAATGACTGGCTCTACTCTACCTCAGGGTCATTTCAAAGCTTGGTCCATTTGCTTTTATATATCCAGACAGTTCCAGGCTTCTGACTACTAGAACCAAACTCTCATGAAAATACAGAATAAATCAGAATGACAATTTGTTAATATAGCTTGGCTAAATCCCCTTGGGATTAGACACTCAAGCCCCCTGATAAGTACGCTGTCTTCTTGTAGGGAATCTACATGGAAAACTCCACTAATAAGGTTGCTTTCTGATCCTGAAATCACATGGATAATCCTAATGACCTAATAACCCCCCAACACATCCATCTTTACAATTAAGATGAAAAATATATCTATAAATGCACCCAAATTCAATTTCACTCATCAGTATCCTCTTTGTGTAAACATTGCTGGAAATACATTGCTTTACTTTGTCTCTCAAACTCCTATTATGAATCTTGCTCAAAATGAGTCCTTGTCTTTTAGTCCTGTCTTCCTTCATGGGTAAAGTACAATTGTGTAGGCTTTCTTTCAGTTATAACACAATCCAGTTATAACACAATCCTCTTTAGATCTGGTTTCCTTGATTAAATCTCAAGCATTTCTAAATTCCCTTCCTTTCAGTAATCATTTGTGTTAGGCGATTTCTCAGGTGGCTGCTCTCATGTTTATTTTGAAACTTCCTAATATTATTCTGGAGGGAACCTTGTTTGTTTCGTGGATGCCCAGGTCTTCTCCCTCCCACTCTTGACTCTCTCCCACCTTGATCCCACCGCCTGCTCCAGGCCCTGCCCTCTCCTCAGCTTTTCTTTATGGCAAATCCATTTGAAATGGTTGACTGTATTCGCTATTCCATTTTCTCTCTTACGCCCAGTTCTTAGATTTGGGTTCCCAGTGCTCCCCTGAGATTGTTTTTGTCACAGTCAGCTGTGGCTTCTGTTTGCTAAATTTAATCATGGACTTTGTCAGTCCCCCTGCTCTTTGGCACACCTGCTGTTTTGACACAGTTCATTATTCCACCGTCTTCACTTGGCTTCTGATGCTACACTCCTGATTTCCCACTTACCTCACTAGCCCCTCCATAGTTAATTTATTTAACTTTATATTCAGTGACCATTTGCTCTTGCTGTCCCCCCTGCCTGAAATTCTCTTCCCTCAGAAGTCTGTATGGTTCCTTCCTCAGCAACTGGAAAGTCTTTGACCATTTTCCTGGTGAAGTCTTCCTTGGCTACCCCATTTAAAATGACACCCCTGCAACACTTCCTTTCAACACTTAGCACTTATTACCACTGACATTCCATATAGTTTGATTATTAGTGTGTGTGTGTGTGTGTGTGTGTGTGCGCGCGTGCCCACCTGCTTCTTCCAGAACAAAATCTCCATGAAAGCAGTGGCTTTGTTTTGTTCATTAACTTGACAAGGACACCCAACTCTAATGACAAGATTTCAAAAATGTCAGGCAAGAATTGTGATCAGGTAGCTCAAGTTGGTCCTAGAGGGTCATATCAGTAGGAATAGAGCATTCTATCCATAGGAAATATCCTCTTTGTCCTTTTTATTATTTTTCATCCTATATTCCATTTTCCTGAAACTCTTTGTGCTCCAATTTTTTTTCCTACTAATCTTGGTCTGATTTATATTTCTCTATCATTCAATTGCTTTGTGACATTTTGTGTTCAGGTTGTGAATCTGATTGACAAAATATAGCTCACCTTTTCCTCTTTAGCCAACATAGTGTTCCTGATCTTTAACAGGCTACTTTAATTTACTTATTTTAATTCCTCTAACATTGTTTGAAGCTCTTTCTTCTCTAAATTTTTCCATTTATTGTACATATATATTTTTCTTTTCTTGCCTCCCATTGGTTTGACCGTGCTCTTCATCGTTGCTGTTTTCATTTTCTCCTTCCAGGTGTTCACTGTGTATTAACCCCTCTAGTTTAAATTAGGATCTTTAAACCTATAGGAATCTTCTCAATATCTAAACTTCATGTTCCTGCCCCACCCCATTCTCCCCACATGCCCTCCTGCCTCTCCCACTAGGACCTTGGCACACTCTTCCTCTGCATCTCCTGCCCCCACTACGTCCAGTTTGGAGATCAAGGGATTTTTCCTTCTGAATTCTTATTAATCATCTTATTATAAACAATTATGTAAATTTATCTCTAAGTTTACCTGTTTGCTCATCAGTGTTCCCTGTACTCATGTCTGTTTCTTCAATTTCTTTTTGGTAATTATCCTCAAAAAACTTTTGGGAACTTGCCAAAGCATTTCATTTCATTTCACAATTCAGTGGCAGTTTGAGTGGGTATGTGAAATAAGTCAAACCCAGAAAGTCAAGGGTTGAATGTTTTCTCTCATATGTGGAAGACCAAAAACAGGGGAAAGGGGAATGGAGGAAGGCAGGGGAAATCCCGTGAAAAGAGAGGAGATGTCAGTGGAGTTGAAGAAGAGGATTAAAGGGGAGGGAGGAGGGACCAGAAGTGGGAGGAACAGTGGAAAGAAACCAGCCAAACTGTCCCATGTACGTATGTGACTAGTACCAAGTGAGTTTTTAGCTTTATGTGTATCTGTAGTGCACTAATTTAAAAGAAGACTCTAAATAAATAGAAGACCAGAAGAGTAGAGGAAAGGGAACAAGGGGAGGGAGGGGTAAAGGAAAGAGGAAGTACTAGGAACTGAATTGGAGCAAATTATTTTCATCATGTCAAAATAAAGCCTGATATTTTTATTAGTGCATTAGAGGTGTACATAATAAGTCCTTTCCTCTCAGAACTCTGAAGATATTGCTCCATTGTCTCTTTTTTTAAACAATTATTTATTTATTCTAATTTGTAATACAGAACAGCAGAATGCATTTCAATTCATAGTCCACATATAGAGCACAATTTTCATGTCTCTGGTTGTACACAAAGTAGACTCACACCATTCATGTCTTCATACATGTATTTAGGGTAATGATGTCCATCTCATTCCACCATCTTTCCTACCTCCCCACCCCGTGCCCCCTCCCTTCCCCCTCCCCTCCCCTCTCTCCCCTTTATTTCTTGCACTATAGGAGTCTTGTTAAGGAAGTCTGAGCCTAATCCAACATGATGAAGATTTGGGCCCACTTTTTCTTCTATTAGATACAAAGTCTCTGGTCTAATTCCTAGGTCCTTGATCCACTTTGAGTTGAGTTTTATGCATGGTGAGAGATAGGGGCTTAATTTCATTTTGCTGCATATGGATTCTAGTTCTCCCAGCACCATTTGTTGAACAGGCTGTCTTTTCTCCAATATATGTTTTTGGCGCCTTTGTCTAGTATGAGATAACTGTATTTATGTGGGTTTGTAACTGTGTCCTCTATTCTGTACCAGTGGTCTACAAATCTATTTTGGTGCCAATACCATGCTGTTTTTGTTACTGTTGCCCTTTAGTATGGTTTAAGGTCTGGTATAGTGATGCCACCAGCTTCACTCTTCTTGCTAAGGATTGCTTTGGCTATTCTGGGTCTCTTATTTTTCCAGATGGATTTCATGATTGTTTTTTCTATTTCTATGAGGAATTTCATTGGGACTTTAATTGAAATTTTATTAAATCTGTATAGTGCTTTTGGTAGTATGGTCATTTTGACAATATTAATTCTGCCTATTCAAGAACAAGGAAGATCTTTCCATCTTTTAAGCTCTTCTTTAATTTCTTTCTTTAGCATTCTGTAATTTTCATTGTAGAAGCCTTTCACATCTTTTGTTGATTCCCAAGTATTTTTTTAGGCTATTTTAAATGTGGTAGTTTTCCTAGTTTCTTTCAGGGGATTTGTCACTGATGTACAGAAATGCTTTTGATTTATGGGTGTTGATTTTATATCCCTCTACTTTGATAAAATTGAATGCTTTCAATTTTTCTCCATTTAGAATGATGCTGGCCTTGGGCTTAGAATAGGTAGCTTTTACAATATTGAGATATATTCCTATTATCCCTAGTTTTTCTAGTGTTTTGAACATGAAGGGATTCTATATTTTGTCAAATGCTTTTTCTGCATCTATTGAGATGATCATAAGATTCTTATCTTTAAGTCTGTTGATGTGATGAATTACATTTATTGATTTCCATATGTTGAACCAACCTTGCATCCCTGGGATGAATCCTACTTGATCATGGTGCACAATCTTTTTGATATGTTTTTGTATTTGATTTGCCAGAATTTTACTGAGAAATTTTGCATCTATGTTCATTAGAGATATTGGTCTGAAGTTTTCTTTCTTTGATATGTGTGTATCTGGTTTTGGACTCAGGGTTATATTGGCCTCATAGAATGAGTTTGGAAATGCTCCCTGTTTTTCTACTTCATGAAATAATTTGTAGAGTATAGGTATTAAT